AGATATTCATAGTTCATTATGGTTATATGATGGGGAATTATGTTATCAATCGCAATTTTTATCATAAATTTTTCTTTTTTTTTTCTTATTAGTTATCTCCGGATTTTGTTTACTTCCTTGAAAATTTTAGAACGTAAATGAAGACAAAGAAATATGATAAAAGTAATTCATACACGAGTCATCATATGAAATGCATTTGTTCTGCTATGTTAGGGAAATGTTTCCTAGCGGTGCAAGTATGAGGTGCTTTGCACCTTCACACACGCCACCGGGAAACTATTTTATTCTTCTCACCATCCTGGGGAATAATAGTACTAACTTTTTTATTCACACGGATCAAAAATATCACTAATCTATCAACATAATATCTGATAGGAAATACTAGGCTGATATTATGCTGATAGATTAGTGATATTTTTAACTTCGACCTGTGCATAAGAAGAAAAAAGTGAATATAAAAGACAGGTGTTCAAACCAAATGTCTCCTGGGAAATTTTACCAATTGATATTACGCTTCGTTGTCCACGTGATTGGGTAAACTGACGCGTTTACAACCAATCAAATCAGTCATACAGTAAATATGGCGCAGATATTATCAGTTATCGTTAAAAGAAACAGTAAATTCTTCATATGAGGCATTGTGTAAAAATAATAAAAATAAAGTTATAAAGACAATGATTTTTTTTGAGTTGTATATAAAGTGTGACGTTACAGCTAACTTATTCAAATACATAGTATAGATGAACAATTAAAAGTTAAATCAAAAAATTTTTTTATAAGAACAAATTTGAAAATTACAATTATATTAACAAAAGCAAATTAAATACAACTTATATTAGTTATCGAACTTTATTTTTCAAAACCTTATTGATCGCGCTTTTAATAATTGCCGCAGCCCTTTCTATTTCTTTTTTACTAAAACTTGCAGAGATGCAAATTCGAATACTGGGTTCTATGCCAAATACTTCTTGTCCATACACATATTTTGCACGAGTTAACAACACTCCATTATTAACTGCCTTTATTTCAGATTTAATTTATAATTGATTAATTAAATTAATTAATAAAAAATTCAAAATGATATTAAAAAAAATATTGTATAATGGTTTAAAACATACCTCATCAACAATTTCCTGAAGAAACTTCTCCTTTTCTTCTGTGTTATTAGCTTTTATATCTTTATTTAATCTTAAATGAATCACCGGAGAGTCAGCATATCCATCAACTGTAACGTATTTAACATTTGCCATATTGCTTTTAAAAGTATTTGTATTTGATAAAACTTTTGCAACAAGATGTGGATTTCGGTCTAAGTTCCTGATAGATTCTGTGGCACATGCAGAAAGCATTGCTGGCAAAGCAGCAGAATAACAATATGCTGGGCCAGAAATTCTCTATCATGACATTATAAAATAAATATGAGTAGGTTCTCACGATTCAAAATTAAACATTTTAATAATAATTATATTAAATTATATAAACCTGATGATCAGTGATCTCAAATGAACCGGAACAAAAACCACCAGAAGAACATAATGCAGTACACATGGAACCAACGATCATGTCGACTTCCTTTGGCTGTAGTGCGTAATCATAAAATGTTTATAAGAAACATAAATAATACAAATCATCAGTAAACAAAAAAAGAAAATGACTTACATTAATATTGTAATAATCAGTTAATCCAGCACCGCGTTTACCCAATGTTCCGATTGACAGGCTTTCGTCAAGAATAAGTCGATACTTAAATTTCTTCTTTAATTCAAGCTAAAATTAAAAAAATTACCGTTAAGATACAAATTTCGGCAACCAAACAATAGAAGAAAAAGATCAATGTTTAACAGTGATGGTATATGACCTGAAATGACTCAAATGACTCAAATGACAAATGACTAGTCATTGGGTCATTTCAAGACCCAAATGACTTAGGTCATTTAACATATGTTAGCCAATCAGAATTTGCTGTCAAATAAAATTAAAATATAATCGATAAT